CCTACATATTCCTATGTAAAACTTTGATCAGCCATTGTGGCCCCGCACTATCCCCGGGGGTGATGATTTGAACAAACCTGAATCTACATAACCTGAGGATGCCCCCACTTGAGTTTCATCTTTCCCGTCTCAGTGGTTCTTGAAAAGAAGATTTTGAAAAGATGCCATTAAATTTTTATTAATTCATAATTATCTCCCCTTGGAAAAGGGCTTGGCCCTTCATTTTAACAAACTTGAATCCCCTTTACCCAAGGATATTTTGTGCCAAGTTTGGTCAAAATTGACCCAGTGGTTCTAGAGAAGAAGATGAAAATGTGAAAAGTTTAGGACGATGACGACAACGACAACAACTTCGACAGACAACGGACAAATTTTGATCAGAAAAGCTCATTTGAGCCTTTGTCTCAGGTGAGTTTAAAATAATTATAAGGAAGCTCGTAAAAAGCAGTTCTTGGCATAATTGATCTAAAAGCTGACTGAAAAATACTAATACAAACTTTTAAAAGTGTTAAATATAATTGTTTGATATGTTTAAAATGAAGAAAACAAGGCGGACATTAATCACATAAGTTTATATTAGATGTAGAAACTGTTTCTAAAACACTTATGTCTAATGAAATAAACATTATTACATGTAACGGGACGTGGACACAGTTTCAACTGAATTGTTTCCGAATTTATTTTTCTATTTTTTTATTTATACTTAGCTAAGGTATTTTTTATGATCATCAAAAATTTGAATTTTAGTTGTTGAGATACAAGATAGATTTGGAGGTTCTAAACTTTGTTATGTTAACAAGGCAAGTGTCTTGTTTTGGTTTACATTGGTTAAATCTACTAGTATATCTTCGTTCAAAGAAGCTTTTTTGCAATCAAGATATTAATTCTAAATATGATAAGCCGATTTTAAGTAATTTCCTGAATCTCACTTTGCCATAGATATCGTGATATTTTCAGCGAAATAAACGAAATTAATTATATAAATTCCCAACGAATATTTGTGCTTTGACAGTATATAAACAAAAACAAGGCACGAGTCTTGATTACATTATGAAGAATTTTAAGGTCTTTTTCTCCTTTGTAAATCAACAAATGATGTTCAAATTTTTGCTGATCCTTTCAATTGCTCTAATTAGGAATGGTAAACATTAAATTTTATTGTATTTTTAATCAGTTGAAACTTTGTCCATATCCCTTTTAGGGGTGCAACTGCATTGGTTAATAACATTTATTATTTCACCAAATTAAGAGTACATGTAATAAGGTTGCGACACTCGCTGAAGTAATTATTAATTGAGGCCAAAACTTTAAAGATGCATAGACATAGATTTGAAGTTAATATTTTCTTAAATTTTCTGTATGATATAACGACCTATACATGTATATTGCATTGGTATTTCGCTTGAAAATGTGATAAGAATCTCATTTCATGTCAAAGTTATTGAAACTTTGAATTTCTGTGGCAATATTAAGTCTATAATCCATAAAATTCAGAGTATAAAACCCCCTCACAGTACATTGTCACCTCGTGCTCAGTGGTTTTTGCAGACTTAAACAATTGAACACACCCGATTATTCGTAAGCATTAACAATAACAGAGCTCGTGCCATGTTCACAAAAACAGTTTTCGTTTCACGGGTGTAATCAGTTTGCTTATGAACATTTCTACTCTGAATTTTCTAGATTATAGGTTATTTATTTTACATTTATACACAATGGAAATAACATTTTGCTTACGTATTATAAGAAAAATTAAAATTCGTGAAAGTTTCAAGGATGTATCAATCAAACCTGAATTTCGAAGTCCAATAACTTCGAGATCAAGAATGATATGAAGATAACGAACAGTAATCAATCTCAAAGTCCATAAAACAATACAAAATAAGAGCAGAGCAAACACGGACCCCCAAAACATCAGAGGTGGGATAAGGTGCCATGGAGGAGTGAGCATCCCCTGCCGACCAGTCACACCCGCAGTATGCTCCTTGTCATGATCAGGAAATAACGGGAAAAATCCGTCGTCAATTCAGTGTATAAATGATGGACTAACAATTGGTATGAAAAACGTCAGTCAGCATTTGACTCAATGATAAACTGTATTTGCTGACAAGGTCATTGTTTCGACCATAGAATTTACGAAATGATGACTTTAAACGAATCTGCTGATATTCTTGTTTCATCAACGTGCTTGTCAATAATTTACTCGTTTTAGAAATTGTTCATACGTAGAGCATGCTCTTGTGTTTCGATTCAACTGAGATATATATACAGTATATATTTTATATGATCGGTAAAGGACGAGGAATTTAACTTACACTCGCAGTTCCCTTTCTAAAGAAGAAATTGTTTAGAACCACATTTCATCGTCTTTTAAAATCTCATTGCAGTCCAGTCAACCAAGCTGAGTTCAATCAAACTTATTTTACTGGATTTCTTAACTTTCTAATAATCCTTATAAACAGGGATACATTGCAGCCAGGGTTCAGCAAATGCTCTATCAAGGTTCCTATTTGTAATCGTCGCAAATATGTTCATTGCTGTGAAGATACGCCACAGCAAATTCTAGAAGTGGTGTTAATTAGATGTGAAATTTCAAAAAAAAAACTTCAAAGAAATTTTAGAAAGTTTAAAATAACATTTTCAAAAGTCATTAACATAAAATCATACTATTTAAATACACTTTTTACTACAAATTCCAACCATAGATAAGCATACACACTCAACACTGCAACAGGGCGACGACTGGTCAGGAAGAAATTTAATTTGTTTAAAATTGCTTTAGTTTTATACATAAGTAATCAGAGGTTGATATGATATCAAAAGAATGCTAGAACTTATTATTGATTAACCTTAATGTTGTCTTCGGCTTTCAGCAGAATGTTTGAAAATTTTCAATGGACACTAATTGTGTTGCTTTACTGGTCGGCCGGTTTTTATATTTCTATATAGCGGAGTTTATTCAGAAACTTTTATCTTCATTTAAGCATTGAATTAATATTTTTGGCTGTCTTCGGTCCTATAACACACCTGGCCGTGCCGACAAATTGAATACCGCGCGTTAGCGCGGTATGATAAATTTTGTCGGCACGGCCAGGTGTGTTATAAGACAGAAGACAGCCAAAAATATGAATTCAATGCTTATATTTATATTCTCTAATTTTCCTTCTTCGTAATTTCTTATATCGTTAATCTTTAATGTGAATTTAGCGCCCTTCAAAACTGACGTGGTCAATAGACGTAAGAGCAGTTTGTGACGTCAGATGACGTTGCAAAGTTAAATTACGAAAACAAACTTTGCGAGGAAAAAAAAGTGACAAATTAATTTCAAACGCACATTTGTAGTAATTTTACGTTAATTTAACAGAATGATAGTTTTTGATTAAATTGAGTCAACACATTGTACATTTTGGTGTTCCTAGATTATAGAAAATGCATATTGTTCCTACTATGTATTCTATCGCGCGGTGAAAAGGTTTTGCGTGTGTTATAGAAATTTGAATGTCATGGATTTCTAATGAATTTCATAAGGAAAAATACACGGAATGTAAATATAAGAAAAAACACACTTCCTGTGGCATGGACATTTGCATACATCTATGTTGTATTATCAATTAAGAACAGTAACCCCATCATAGGTCGACTTGACAAACCGAAGTGATTTATATTCAATAAAGACAGCGAAGAGTCTGCCACTTGTGTTTCTTTTTATGGCTTCCATATGCTCAGAATCAAAGTGTATAAACATATTTTCACGCAACTCCGTTAATTTTCAGACAAAATAGAGAAATTAAGAATAAAAGTAGTTCTAAATTTGTCCTTTATTAATGACAAAAGGGTAAGACATGAAAATTAAGAGATCCTATTTTTCTTTACTATTTGTACATACACCTGGATTTGGATTTCCCAAAGCTTGAAGGTACAAAATGATAGTAATCAAAACTACAATGTAATGAAACACTTTTGTTGAAAAATAGGGTGGCGACCAGAATATGCCAACCTAACCCAACTTTATTCAAACACCTATGTAACAAAATAATAAGGTGGTAACAAACCATAGGCTAACTAACAATTTGATAATAACATAATGTAAATTTACTACCCATGGGACAGTTGAATGGGGTGGAAGTGGGTATGTTTTCCTTTACAACTCTCAGCATGCACAGACACTTGCAGCTTAGGCATCTAACATTGATACTAATCACATGATCACACGTAATGTAACTGCCGGTATTAAGAAATCTCGAACACCTGAGACAAGTCATTACCTAACTTGCAAGTAGTTTACCAAGCCTAAGTGAACACATTACCTAACTCACAGATAGCTAAATTCTTTATTTAAAAAATGCAACGACACATCTGAATGCATTCCTAAAACATTATTTCCAGTTTATTTCCAATAATATTACATTTTTAAACACATTGTTTCCCACAACTCCGTTATTTTTCAGCCAGAATACAAAATACCCCCTACAACTAACTTGATAATTTGGCATAATGATACTTTTATTGTTGCAGCAGATCTAAATAGTCCCTATTTTTTACCGTGATTTTAGATGTTGTACCCTAATGAATCGGTTACGCTAACAATAGGTATAGGTATATGTAAGTAATCTGACGTACATATGTACCTATGTAGTTGATAGAGGCGTCGGTGTCGTCCTCAATGCTGCTGCTGGCTTTAAATGAGACGATGAGTACCTTTGAATCATCAACTTATTTTTCAGGAGTCTGTCTTGATTTGGAAATTGGTCGCTCAATATACGGTACTCTTTTTATTTTATTTGAAGCAACAACTAGAATATTTAGAAATAGGTGTAAGAAAACAATTTCATGAAATTCCAACTAATCAACTAAAACAAGTATCGTGAAGTGGTTAGAATTGACTATGTAGTATATATGGGAAGGATTTTAATGTTTCATTTGTGACATAAGTGCTGTCTCATTTTTAGGAAATGATATTTCGTATATTTTTTTTAATAAAATAACCCGGATGAATTTATGCATCGGCAAATCTTGCTTCCTTGAACAAGGCACAAATTAATTGTCCTGCTTAAACTGTTAGAAAACTCTGAGCTAGCCGAGATGAGATTGGGTAAAGAATGATTTGGTTTATCTTAAACAATTAAAACGTTAACCATGCTATATATATGTGTGCTACATTTAGAAAATGAAATGTAATTTGAGATAACACGATTTAGCATTGAAATAATGAAATATTTTATTTTCATGTAAACACCTTTAGTAGTTTTCCTGAAGTTTGTAGCAGCTGCATTTGTAATGTCCAATCATCTTGCCTACTGCAATGCAGATATGTAAGTATAAAAATATTTTCTCTTTCATTTTTATTAAGAGAATTGCCTCGTCTCGAGCTCCGACGGAATATTTTTTCCGAAATTCAAAAATAACATTTGGACCGATTAAAAAAACAAATAATTTTTTTTTTTCGAAAAAAATGTCCAAAAATGTCTTAGGCTTTTGCATATGGCTATAATGCACCCTAAAGCTTATCAACACCTGAAAAAGATGAGGTCCCTCTCTTTATAGAAACAACTAGTGGCGTATCAATGGTTAGAAAAGCAATGAAATGAACGTAACACGTATGTTCGACATAATATTCAAACAATTTAATTTTTAATTGTACGATATGAGAATTCAGGTTAGTTAAGGAAAAACTTCAACAGTACTGTTCTACAATATATTGGAGAATTGATGAAAATCAAATGTAGATGCAAAAAAAAAATTCCAAAGAACTTATGGAAAACTTGAAATCACAAAATTTTAACAAAATCAACAACACAAAAACTTTCGACTTTTTAACTATTCCTCACGATAAATTAAAGTCCACGCTTTCTAACATTATTTACAACTTCTTTTCAATAAAAATGGAACTCGTAAATTTACATTTACATTCATTGGTCATTTGCAAAATTACTTTGTTAAAAATATTTGATTGTACATACAATACATTGTATACACACATTGTATTCTGAAGTTGATATTAAAAAGATTCTCCAGTTTCTGATTAACATATTTTTTTTTGGGGGGGGGGGGGGGGCAGGTCTTCCAAATATCTATAGGAATTCACATGGGTACCAATTGCGTACTTTTATTAGCAGACCTATTTTTGTGTTCATGTAAAGCAGAATTTGTTCAAAATCTTGTATAAAGAAGAAATCACTTGATGAAGCCTTCAAATCAACATTTAGATATATCGACGACATATTGTCAACTAGAGATATTTATATCCATTATTATGTTGACACAAATAATCCCGATAAGCTTGCAATAAAAGATACCACAGAGTCTGACAGATGTGTTTCATATTTCGATCTTTTACTAGAAAAAAGTTAAAGGTTATCTAACAACATTTATGATAAACGTGATGACATTAACATTTTAATCGTCAATTTTTCTTACTTTTGCATAAAAAAAAACTTTAACACCTTCATACGAAAATTATATCTTTCAGTTGATTTGATACGGAAGAACATGCATGTTATTGACAAACAAGTTAATGATACGTATACACGATTGATTTTTCCCCGTTATTTCCTGATTATGCCAAGTAGTACACGGCGGATGTAACCGGATGGCAGGAGAAGCTCACTCCGCCATGGCACCTGATCTCACCTCTGATGTTTTTGGAGGTCCGTGTTTGCTCCGCTCATATTTTGTATTGTTTGAGAGACTTTTGAGCATCAACTTGCTTGTCAACAATCTACATCGTTTTAGAAACTGTTCATACGTAGAGCATGCTCTTGCGTATCGAATCAAATGAGATATAAATACTCCGTTTGCAGGTGTACGGTATATTGATGGATAAGTAAGGGAAGTTGACGATAGAGAAGTTAAAGTCATCACGTTTATCATAAAGCTTTTTTGTTAGATTACCATTAGCGTCTTTTTCAAGTAAAATATTCAAGTATGAAACAGGTGTGTCAAATTCTGTGACTCCAAACAAGGGGTAAGGTTCAAAGGTGTAACCCCAAATAAGTATAAATATTTTTATGAATATATAATTGCGTGGATTATGGTCTTTATATAATAATCATTTCATAAAACTGGAACATCTAGTGGTAGACTGTACAAATAGTATTACATGTAACTAATCAAATTTATATGAAACTATGATAAAGTGTCTAACTATGTTCTGGATTTCAGAAATTGTATCCAAAGAGCTACACATTTTTTCAGAGAAATAACAAATAAAACAGGTTGCATATCGAAATCTTCAAGTAAGTTCCTTTTTCTTGAAAGAACATAGAAATTAAGTTAAAGTAATTTTAGGTGATGACCATGATTAATGAAAGCCTTTTTAAAAAGGACTTATTAGTGATAACATTTTCTTTTATTTTTTTCAGTTAACTTTTACCTGAGAAACTGTTATGGGGTTTGTTCAAAAACAATATCTGAAGAAAAGACAGATGGGTATGTTGAAATACTTCTAAAATATGATGCCGAAGAAATCGTAAGATTGAAAGATAAGAAGAATACTGAATGTGGATACAATCTTACAAATATCGTTATAGAATGCACCATTGAAAATAATACACAGAGTAAGTGTACCATGAATTGGGAAACTATTGTAAAAATCTGTTTTTCATTTAACAATTTTATAGAACGGAAATTGAATTGCTTTGCACTATCTATAATTTCAGAGTCTCTTCAAAGCTGTATTACAAGCCATTGTATTTATGGAAATAATATCGATAACCGAAATGGTTTGTAAAATATTTTTCATGCTAAAAGATCTGAATAAATATCAAAATTCTCTTTATATTTTTTCTTTATTATGTCACAAAATAAATACATAAATATTCAAAAACTGAAACTTTTCATTCTTCGGAAACAGTTCAAAGGTCTCATTGTGACGTCAATACTAGCCCTCTTATAATCATGGCTGCCATATTCGGTGGACTCATTGTCGGCTCTGTCGTGACAATATGTTTAAAAGATAAACAGATCTGGTAAACTATCGAAAGCATAATACTGAAAGCACTCATTATTAGACAATAAAAGTTATTAAAAATGCTCTCTTTTTTGCAGAAAAAATATCTACTTTTAAAATCCACAATTATTTAAAGTTGATTACTATCAAGATAAGAGTTAATGAAATAAATTTCTACATATGTATTAAGAATTTGATAAAATCTGCGATTATTTCTTAATTTAATGCTTGAAGTATTATGTTGGGTCCAATATTTCAATCACTGACAGAAGACGAGAGGAAAACCTGTAACAACAGTGGAATCCCTGAAGCTTTAGACAAGGTATTACATTTCTAACACTATTTTTTAGCTTTGAATTTACAACTGTTCTTCTTAAATTTTATGTTATTGCAAGTAGCTTCTGTGACATCATTTATTTTTTCATTAATGTAGGTGTTACGGTAATAAATAGTACTTGTACATACATACTTAGTAACATATATTACACCGAGAAAAGTTTTCAGTGTTATGATATCAATACATCCTCAAGGTAGGATTCTTCTCATATTTCTTGTATTTAGAAATTATTGAAAGTTTCACAGAATCAAGAACACAGTATCCCTAAGTGATGGTATCAGTGATATTAAATTTGACCGTTTAATATTAGAGGCAAGGTCAGTCAAGGTCATAACCTTTTCTCTAGACAATAAGAATAAAAAAAATATTGTTGCCAATCGTCTGATTCCTACATACATTTCAAATGATTGAATGTCTTTTCTTTTGCATGAACAGTAACTATTATATAGGGCCTACAAGATGACTTTACAAAATTGACATAAATGATTTAGCTAAAATGAATATTGGCTAATCCGGATTTTCTCTACTTTCTTAAACTTTTAAAATATATTAGTTATCTTTATATGAATCCTATATTTTAGTTTTTTTTATTTTCACATATGGTAAAGTTGTCACATAAAGAAACAAACTGATATAAAAACGAAAAGTTTTGATCGTTTACTTAGAGAGACTAACACTTCTTACATATCTTTTGCTCAATTTTCTATTTAGATTGGAAGTTGTTACAGTGTAAAAAGCTAACATAGTTCTAGCTTGTCTGACAAATCATATTTATTTGATATAATTTGACATTTCCGTCACTCATTTTTAATCTAACTTACATGAAAAATTTTTAAAGTCTCTGATTATGTAAAAATGATAACTAAATTTATTCTTCTAAAATAGTTTTGAGAGGCAGAAAAGAAGATATTTTTACACCATTCCGCCAAAAATATATTCCCTGCAAGTTTTCGAACGCAGATTACCATTTCTATGTTAAGTTGTACAATTGTGATGAGAAAAGAAAAATGTGGTCTTTTAAATGTCTTACACCCTAAATAGAAAAGATATAAGCAACTATACTTTGAATATTTCATCCAGTCAGAAACCAGAGAAGAATCCTACCTTAAGCAAGCAAAATAAACCTGTTAAGCGGCTTGTCTATTTGGTTGCTTTTTGCTGAAAATTTTATGGCAAAGAAATACATTTTGCAAACAGTTGTTTACATAATCATAATAAGACAATTCTTAGAACAATTATACACAGTGTTTGTACTCAGTCACTGTGTAATATTTTTAACTCAGTATTCAAGTATATATGTATATATGAAAGTGATACAGGGTTGTTATCACCGTCTTTTAAACTTCTTTTTCATTGAAGGAACTTTCCGATGAACACATTAGAACATCTCAGCAGCAATTGAAGACAATTTTTCTGTATGAAGATGTCCATGATGAAGATGTTTATAATCATTTACGTGAAGATAATGAGTCCAAACCAGAGAGAGAACAAAGACATTATTCAACCATGCAAATGTTATCTTCTCATGAAGAAAAACCTGAAAATGTCTTATCTGATGAAAATGCTAAAGGTGTTGATGAAATTCAAGAAAATACACATCAAACGGAACAGTTGCAGGCCAACGCTGGAGGACTGAGCTGTAACGAAATATCTCCCGAGTGCTCGTGTACATATTTTACACTTGAAAGAAAGTTTTCTTAAAATTTCATTTTCATAAGATCGCATTTTTTTTTATGAGAATTTAATTTCACTTCATGAAGTCTACAAGTATGAGAGTGTGATATACAACTGCGTAAGAATATAGAGTGATTTTAATATAATGTCCAATTTTAGTGGTCTTAATTATATGAAATTTTCAATGAAATATACATGTTCATGTTTGTGTATGAAAAGCAGTTTTTCAAACGATTCATACACTACTGAATTAAATATCCCCTTAGATTCCAAAAAATCCCCTGTTGTCCCCCTGTCAGTCCCTGACATTTTCCTGTCTCTCCCTGACTTTCTCCTATGATCCCCTGTCGTTGTCCCTGCTCTCCCTGTCCAGTCCCTGTCGTCCCCTGTCGTTGTCCCTGCCTTCCCTGTCTACTCCCTGTCGTCCCCTGACATTCTCTGATCTCCCTGTCTAGTCCCTGTCGTCCCCTGTCGTTGTCCCTGCCTGCCCTGTCTACTCCCTGTCGTCCCCTGACATTTATTTTGGCCAAGAAAAGGAGTTTAAAAAATATTTTTGTTGCATTTAAGAGTGAAAAATGATATAGTCTTGAAAACTTTAGGAATATATTTGAAAATATAGACTTAAAAGTAAAAAAGTTAACACATTTTCAAATGCCTTAACTTAATCCCCTGTAATGAAGTTTCTATTACTTGTATCGATGTGATTTTTTTTTTTTTAGTTTGGAAGCATTTCCAGGGGTGAACGGCAGAGAATTGCATCGATTCTAAAGAAGAAATAAATTACCAATTTATTTCATCTTGTGATGCTAGACGGCATATACATTGAACTATTTGAACCTTTTATATATATTTATAAACTTTTTCATTTTTTATTTGATATACTTTAAAACATCTTTAAGCGTAATAACTGTCTTTGTAAAAGAAATAGATTTAAACATTTGGGATAAATTATCAAATCCATGCATGGGATATTTTGTTTTTTCAAAGAATTAAATTATTAAAAATTAATTGAAAGGAATGATATATAAACGCATTAATAAAATAAATGTCTATTCAATAAATAAAAATTATTAAATAAACTAAAAATCTACTTTATTCATTTATATTCTTATGTGAATAAATCTACAAATCGACTGAATGAATGAATGAATGAATAAATAAATAAAATTATATAAATTTATTCATTTATTTGTTTATTTTGTAATTCATCATTCATTTATATCCCCAAAATTTGATTTATTATTTTTATTTTATTTATTTGCTGAAATATGCTACAAAGTATTTTATAAGCATATTAAAACGACTTTTTATTACTTTAATTACATGATGGATATCAAAATAATCGTCTTATTATGCACATTAATCTGTCAATTAGATTTTTGACCGTTTGTGTTGACTGAAACATCGGTTTTCAAAACCCTAACACTGTTCTGAAACAACATCAAAACCATTGATGTTTACCAGTAATTAACTCGGGGTACACAGTCATGACACCTATTATCTTTTTTACTGACCGCTATACCTTGTTTATGTTGTGGCAGGACGCCCTTTTGTAGTTTGCAGCTGTTTGAAATAACATTGTCCTTGTATGAGAACTTTTTTTTTCAATGAAAACAAAATAAAAGTATCAAAGAAACTATTGACGGGTAAAGATTGTGCATAATGAGATGATTATTTTGAAATCCATCATGGAAGTAAAATAATTAAAAGCCGACTTAATATGCTTAAAAAATACTTTGACACATATTTTTTCGTAAATAGTTTTACATAAAATAAGCCAAAAAAATCCCAATTTCGGGAATTTGATGAATTTGTTTGTATCCTCAATTTTACAAATAAAAAAGATTGTTTTTATATTGCATAAATACATGCAGTTAATAAGTTTTTTTTTCTTTTTTTTTGGGGGGGGGGGGGGGGTAACTAACTATTTAAAATCAATTATTATATTGATTTTAAAAACTTAATTATTTCAAAATGAACCAATACCCCCTGCTGTCTCTCTGTTTTTTCTTTTTTTTTTCTTTTTTTTTTTTCTTTTTTTTTTTTTTTTTACAAATGGTACAAAGTCAAACCAGTATTTAACGAATAAAACAGATTGAAGCGAAATAAATTCATAGTACATAAATAAAATAAAATAAATGAATAATGAAAAAAATTATTAATAAAATATCAATGTATTTATTTTTGAAATTGAAAATACAACAAATAAATGAATCATTTATATCTGCAAAAAATTGTGTTTCTTTAGTTTAATTTTATATAAACACTTGCATCTGTAGATGTGCTACAAAGTATTTCATTAGCGTATTAAAACGACTTTTCATTATTTTAAGTACATAATGGATATCAAAATAATCGTCTCATTATGCACAATATTAATCTGTCAATTAGATTTTTGATACTTTGTTTTGATTTTAAAAAATCGGTTTTCAAAACCCTTACACGGTTCTGAAACAACATCAAAGCCATTGATGTTTACCAGTAATTAACTCGGGATACACAGTCATGACACCTTTTATCTTTTTTCACTGACCGCTATACCTTGTTTATGTTGTGGCAGGACGACCGTGTGTAGTTTACAGCTGTTTGAAATAACATTTTCTCTTTGTATGAGAACTTTTTTTTCAATCAAAACAAAATAAAAGTATCAAAGAAGCTATTGACGGGTAAAGATTGTGCATAATGAGATGATTATTTTGATATCCGTCATGGAAGTAAAATAATTAAAAGCCGATTTAAAATCCTTCAAAAATACTTTGATACATATTCTTTTGTAAATAAAATATCAATCTATTTATTTTTTGAAATTGAAAATACAACAAATTAATGAATCATTTATATCTGCAAGAAATTGTGTTTCTTTAGTTTTATTTTATATAAACACATGCATCCGTAGATGTGCTACAAAGTATTTTATTAGCGTATTAAAACTACTTTTTATTATTTTAAGTACATAATGGATATCAAAATAATCGTCTCATTATGCACAATATTAATCTGTCATTTACATTTTTGATACATTGATTTGATTGAAAAAATCGGTTTTCAAAACCCTAATACGATTCTGAAAGAACATCAAAGCCATTGATGTTTACCAGTAATTAACTCGGGGTACACAGTCATGACACCTATTGTCTTTCTCGCTGACCGCTATACCTTGTTTATGTTGTGTTCAGAGTGACCGTGTACAGTTTGCAACTGTTTGAAATAACATTTTCTCTTTGTATGAGTACTTAATTTATTTATTTTTTTTCAATCAAAACAAAATAAAAGTATCAAAGAAGCTATTGACGGGTAAAGATTGTGCATAATGAGACGATTATTTTGATATCCATCATGGAAGTAAAATAATTGAAAGCAGTTTAAATATGCTTCAAGAATACTTTGATACATATTTATCGTAAATCATTTTACATAGAATATGCCAAACAAATCCCATTTTCGGGTATATGATTATTAAGTTTCCTTGTATCGTCAATTTTAAAAATAAAAAAGATTGTTTTAATAATGATTAAATACATGCAGTTAATAAGTTTTTTTTTTATTTACTAAATATCTAAAATCAATTAATGTATTGGTTTTAAACAATAAAATATTCTAAAATGCACCAATACCCCCTGCTGACTCTTTTTCTTACAAATGGTACAAAGTCAAACCAGTATTTAATGAATAAAACAGATTACAGTGAAATAAATATATAGTAGATAAATAAAATAAAATAAAAAAAAAATGAAATAATTATAAATAAAATATCTATTTATTTTTGAAAATGAAAATACAACAAATAAGTCAATCATTTATATCCGCGAGAAATTGTTTTTCTTTAGTTTTGTTTTATTCATGTTTTATTAATTTAGTAATGGTGTGACTTTCTACCTTTTGTAAGAAAACAAAAAAGAAGAAAAGAAAGCAGGGGTACTGGCGCATTTTGGAATATTTCAGTTTTTAAAATCAATACAATAATTGATTTTAAATAGTTAGTAAATAAACAAATAAATAAACTAATTAACTGCATGTATTTAATCATTATAAAAACAGTGTTTTTATTTTTAAAATTGACGATACAAGAAAACTAAATAATCATATACCCGAAAATGGGATTTGGCATATTCTATGTAAACTGATTTACGATAAATATGTATCAAAGTATTTTTGAAGCATATTAAATCTGCTTTTAATTATTTTACTTCCATGATGGATATCAAAATAATCGTCTCATTTTCCACAATCTTAACCCGTCAATAGTTTTTTTGATACATGTACTTTAATTTTGTTTTGATTGAAAAAATCAGTTCTCATACAAAGAGAAAATGTTATTTCAAACAGGTGCAAACTGTACACGGTCACTCTGAACACAACATAAACAAGGTATAGCGGTCAGCGAGAAAGACAATAGGTGTCACGACTGTGTACCCCGAGTTAATTACTGGTAAACATCAATGGCTTTGATGTTGTTTCAGAACCGTGTTAGGGTTTTGAAAACCGATTTTTAATCAAATTAATGTATCAAAATTGTAAATGACAGATTAATATTGTGCATAATGAGACGATTATTTTGATATCCATCATGGACTTTAAGTAATAAAAAGTCGTTTTAATACGCTAATAAAATACTTTGTAGCATATTTCAGCAAATAAATAAATAAAACTAATTAAATAAATTTTGGGGATATAAATTTATTTATTTATTTATTTATTTATTTATTATTTATTTATTTATTTATTTATTTATTTATTCATTCTTAATTCAGTCGATTTGTAGATTTATTCACATAAGAAAATAAATAAATATAGTAGATTTTTAGTTTATCTAATAATTTTTATTTATTGAATAGACATTTATTTTATTAATGCATTTATATATCATTGCTTTCAATTAATTTTTTATTCATTTAATTCTTTGGGAAAACAAAATATCCCACGCATTGATTCGATAATGTATTCCCAAATGTTTCAATCTAGTTCTTTTACCAAGACAGTTAAAAGCTCAAAGATGTTTCAAAGTAGATCAAATAAAAAATGAAAAAGTTTATAAATATATATAAAAGGTTAATAAACCACAATGTATATGCCGTCTACTATCACAAGATGAAATAAACTGGTAATTTATTTCTTCTTTAGAATGATGCAATTCTCTGCCGTTCTCCCCTGGAAATGCTACCAAACTAAAAAAAATCACATTGATACCAGTGA